GAGGAGAGACAGCCAGGGGAGAGCGAGGAGAGACAGCCAGGGGAGAGCGAGGAGAGACAGCCAGGGGAGAGCGAGGAGAGACAGCCAGGGGAGATAGCTTCCTATACTCTCAGCTCCATCTAGTGGCCATAATTTGGTATTACATTAGATTCAACCGGAGAAGAACATAACTTATTCCCTATGCTCCTTTTCTTCTGCAAGGACGTTCAAATAGCTTTTCACTGTAAACTCTCCTTCTCCCTCCCGTACAGTAGATTTCCTCACACTCTGAATTTGTAATGGTTTTCCTCAGTTCTTTCTTCTACTTTACCCTACAGCTGGTTTTTGGGAGGGATTTGGAAGATCAGAGGGGGGAGTCAATTAGGGGGATCCACCCAGGTGCACAGGGGTCTTTATGCGCCTACTTCCAAAGTGGGTTCGAAGCAGAGCATTTGTTTTGGTCTATGAGCTGGAATAAAGAAGACATGATCACCTGATGTGGTGGTCAGCACCTCTCTCTCTCCCTGCTCAGGCTGCGGTATGTCGCAATCCAGTATCAGGTTAGTATATTTTATTTTTATGCGCCCCTGGACCAAAATGAGCAGTTAGCCCTCGTAGTGTGGGGGCGGCCCAACTACAATAAAATATATGGTTTGGGGGGTCTTTTACAAACGCTAGCAACGCAGCAGTTGAAAATCAAATCAATAGGAAAAAATTGCAGAAAATGCAAAAAATGGCTTGGCCAGCTGATTTGAAAAATGTTCCGGAGGGCTTGGCAGCGAAAGGGTTAAAATGCCCGGAGTTCCTCTTTGAGCAAGAGAGATCTCACTATGGTTCCGGAAAGGACATCTAGTGGCACTAGACATCTAGTCTAGTACTGCACAGGCGTCCCCATTGGAAGATTGACACTAGACTTCTGTTCTGGTGACAACTCTACAATGTTGCATTTCTGACCACTTTCTGTGCTGTGGTCACCAGGAGTTCTTCTTTAAGCACCGTGGGTGGAAGATGCGGGTCAGGTAAGTACAAAGCCCAACTTTCTTTTCTTTATAGGTACATTTTATGTCTACAAAGAGTAGGTGATTTGGAAAGGGGGAGGAGTCAGTGCATGCAGACCTTGCATTTCATTGCAAGGTCCACTTTAAGGCAGAACAACACAAGATAAAAATGAATAGCCATTAAAAGATAACATAACAAAACCAGCTTTTGCTGCAACAAGTACCTTCATTACAGAGAATCACAGCAGTACTTTCTTCTACCACTAGATGTCCACAGTCTGATGGCCGGCATCATTCCACCTACTTCCTCTGAACCCAGGTCACCCCCAACCTGTGACTGGACTGTGAAAGGAGAAGCAGCACAGTGATGAGCTCATCTCTCTGTCACTCTGCTCTCTCCTCGATATCAGCATGCTAATGGTCAGCACACAACTGGCTCCTTGTGCTGCTTCTTCCTCTCACACTGCAGCTCTGCTGTACAGCTGCTGCAAAAGGCTGATACCAGGTCAGGTATAACTCCTTTGTATCCTTGTATGTAAAAACACATTTATTGATTCATAATGATTACAGAGCTGCATTCTTTGTGTCCTTTCTATTGCACAATCTGCAGCATTTGTGCACATCGCTCTACAAACAATGAACACATGGATGATAACAGCACCGCTTCTATGTCCAGAAGTGCGATGCCAGATTAGCCGGCCGGCCCCATACTGGGCTATTCAATGGCCACTTCCTTGTATATTCCAAACAAATCCTCATCATAAAGTCTTTTATCTGGGAGACGAGGAAACGTCAGATGTTGTGGCTGCCCCGGCTCTGGAGGAAGGGCGGGACATCAAATAGAGGCTTGAAGAGGGTCATGAGGAAGAAGGCTGAAGAGTAGAGGCGCCCTAGACAGACGGGAGCCGAATCCCGAGACTTCAGAGCGCGGCTTCCGCGCCGTACAACACCCTTCAGTGGCCGAGCACAATATGCACATTGTCGTCATGTGACCGCTTCCACCCAGACCCCGGATTGCGCCTGACATTGGGACGGCACAGATTGTTGGTTTGAGTCTGCGGCCGAACAACAATGCCGACTAACATAACCAGCGACGCGAGAACTATAAATTAACCCCTTCACGACGGAGCTACAACAAACCTTAACTTTTGTATAGCCGGGTGGATGCCGTTCACACCGCACAAGTATACTCATCTGTCCCATCTAGGGGCCTAGCGAATGGCTATATACAGTAGTACTGTCATAGCCCCTTAGATGGCAATGACGAGTATACGTGTGTTGTGCAAACTGCATCCACCTGGCTATATACTATAGTACTCCCGTTATACCCCCCTAGATTGTGCTGCTGAGTATACTTGTGCTGTGCGAATGGCACCCACCCGGCTATATATAGTAGTCCTGCCATAGCCCCCTAGATGGTTTTGTTTAGTATACTTGCGCTGTGCGACTGGCACCCACCCGGGTATATAGTAGTCCTGTTATAGCCCCCTAGATTGTGCTGCTGAGTATACTTGTGCTGTGCGAATGGCACCCACCCGGCTATATATAGTAGTCCTGCCATAGCCCCCTAGATGGTTTTGTTTAGTATACTTGCGCTGTGCGACTGGCACCCACCCGGGTATATAGTAGTCCTGTTATAGCCCCCTAGATTGTGCTGCTGAGTATACTTGTGCTGTGCGAATGGCACCCACCCGGCTATATATAGTAGTACTGCCATAGCCCCCTAGATGGTTTTGTTGAGTATACTTGTGCTGTGCGACTGGCACCCACCCGGCTATATATATTACATCAGGACTACCCTTCCCATCAGTCTTCTTTCCCCCCTTCACATCAGAGTCCCTGAGGAGGCCAGGAGGCACACCAGTGTGCCACAGGCCCCTGGTTGAGAAAGGCTGAGATACTACAACTGACAGATGCATTTCCTGTGTATGGTGTTGCACACAAAGATTACAATATAACTTTCCTGTTACGTTTCGGAGCATGCGCTACTATTTCCCAACCGCACCGTATTGCAGCAGCCGGGAGCTGAATTGGGGTGCACCTTCTACATTGTGATAGCATGCATTCATCTCAGGGAATTGTGCAATTAAAAAGGAGAACTATGAGGTGAGTGATTTCCGCTCATCCTCATAGTTAGAGCCGATGTGTGACAATGAGACTGTCACACGTCGGCTCTATAGATCGGGAACACATACCGTCGCTCGCTCACTTCCAGATCATCTCCCTGCAGAGAGCCGTAACTGTCAGTCACCGCTCTCCACATGGATTCCTCCTCTCCCATCCTCCAGCGCTGACTGGAGGAACAGACGGGGGAGGGGGCAGGCACAGCTCGCTCTGCCTCTAGATAGGCAGAGCCCGCTGTCAATGAATCAGCTGGGTAGATATCATCAGTAATGTCGGGATCCGTCCCGGCTGCGGCGCTCTCAGT